CAAATAAATTAAACAACCTTGAATAAAAACTTTTTATTATTAATAATTACTTACTTCTCTACAAACAATTCTTTCTTGAACAGTAATTAAAATAATACAAAATAAATAGCGAAAAAAATATTGTAGGCGTTACATTATGATAAATAACATGTATTTTAAATCAATAAACAGCATTAGTAGTATTTTTTCAATTTTTTTTTTAAATAATATAAAAAAAATTCATCAGGAATTGAACCAGCGTTACGAAATGGTCGCGAAATGCTAAGATCTGCGCATTGAGAAAGAATAAAGAGGAGGTGCTATGACGATACTAAAGTATCTGCACCTTTACACTTTTACGTCAAACTCGAGATAGTGAGCTAGTCAGTTTTGGTGAAAATAAATACAATTTTTGTTAAATAGCTTCATATAAATGACATAAAATTATTTTCATTCCGTCAGTTTTCAAATATAAAATTAATAACTTCAAAGAAATCAAAGTACCACTGAAATTGGTATTTTCATTACACTTTTCCGTCACTCGAAGTACGTCCATCGATCATATCTCAAAATAGTGTTTATGTCGTCTCTACTTTATTCTATCTCGATGGATCTGCGCTATCACCGTTTTGCCATTTGACTTATCTAATTAAATATGTACATCTATGAACCAGGAAAAATGCAAAAACATGTAGGTAGTAACTTTAAAATTATTTTAATAATTTAGTAGAAAGAAATATCAAAGATTATATTTAAAAATTAAGAGCAATCCAGTCCCTTCTGACGTCACACCGCACGGATCTCACTACCTCCCCTTAAAGTATTTGGAACCTTGTTAGCTACATAAATTTGGCAATGTTGTGTGTCGTTCCCTGAAGAATAATCATATTGGGTAGGGTCCGATTACAATTCAGGTATAATTCATTGGCTATCGCCGCCTACTGGGGGTTAGTGGCTTGTTAATATTATAGGAATACTATTTTTAAACCAAACAACTCAAATATTTTTTATTTATTGATAGTCTCATGATGATATACAGGGTGTCCCGAAATTAGACGGTCATATTTTAACAGCGTAATCTACATCCTAAAATAGTAAAAATTCATATAAACATAGGTCCGAAAACTTTTCTTTTCCGAGATACAGGGTGTTAAAGGTGAAGTCCTGATACCACACTTTTGTAAATATTTTCTAAACGTTTAAAGATAATAAGGTAAAATTTGTTACAAATACTAACCTTTTTACGCTTCATTTATTGGACTAAACCCCAGTTATTGATCATCTTCTTAGGTGGGTAAATTAGGGAGAGCTTAGGGTAAAATTGCCGAGTTTGTCTGTGTGTCTATATCCACCATAACTCATGAACCGATACATAGAAAAACACTAAATTTTATACTTAAGCTTTATTTTAGCGTTCAATGAAATGATTAGATTTTGAGCAGAGTCGGAACATCTGGGGGGGTACTTTATAGGGGGTAATTTTTATATTTTATGGAATATATCTGTTATTTACGTTTGGAAGAGAAAATTCTTTAAATAAAACTTACTTCTAATATTATTATTTATAATTTTTGTTCCATACATAATTTCTCTAAAATAGACCTTATTCAAGATATTTGAGAAAATGTGTAAATTTTAAATTTTGAAGAAAACTCAAAAACGGATAAAGAAAAAAACATTAAATTTTAAACTTAAGTTTTATTTCGGCCTGACGTGAAATGATTAGATTTTGGACAAAGTCGGAACATCTGGGGGGTACTTTATGGGAGGCCGTTTTTATATTTTATTGAATATATCTGTTATTTATGTTTGGAGAAGAAAATTGTTCAAATAAATAGATAGGAAAGTCATGTGTTGGACACATCAGATTTTTTGACTATAAAATTTGGAAAACCAATATTTTCTGTATTTGTTGCATCTCGCTAGGACGCGCCTTTTTCAAGAGAAAAAGTATTTTCAGCGATAATTCTTTACCACGGTGTCCAATTTCAATGATTCTTTTTTTGTTAGAAAGGGGGTACTTCAGGGGTGGTTCAATATAAATTTGGTCAAAATCTAATAATGGGTCCCATGAGAAAATCCTCAAACTCTTCATTTTTTATGTATGTTTAGCGATAATGCTTTACCACCTTGTCCGATTTATATGATTCTTTTTTGGTAGTAAGGGGGTACCTCAGGGGTGATCCTATATAAATTTGGTTAAGATGTGGTGACGACATCTGCACGTTTTTGAATTCGTTTTTTTTTTAATTTCTAATACTTGTAGGATGTAGATTACGCTGTTAAAATATGACCGTCTAATTTCGGGACAGCCTGTATATTGGAAATTCGAAATAATAGTTATGACGTAGCGGTGTTCTTCTAATTGTAATCGGACCCTAGGTATATGGATACGGAATGTTATGAATTGGAGATAGGTAAATTGTATTTATTGTATTAAAGGAACAACAAATATAAGTACAATTAAATAAGTATATTAATATAACAATTTTTAAAAGTCTTTATTAAAAAAAATTTTTTTCACATAGATTATTAAATTAAAAAAATAACTATTAAAACACGAAATGTTAATTTTTTTCTCTTTTACAACACAAAATATACAATACTGTTGAATCAAAATTTTCTCTTGGCAGCAGGTGGTTTTTGTGACGCGACAATTATGATGCTTTGCATCTCATGAATTAAAGCTAATTCTCTTTCAATCTTAAGGTGATCATACTCCTTATAATTTTCGGACAAGAATATCTCAAAATATTTAAATTTTGGCAAAATAAATTAGGCAATAATATCTATAACATGCATATATTTTAATGTTTGAATTCCTTCCAGTTTCTCAAAAAAACTTAAAGGGCTTTAATTTTGAAATATCATAATGAAAATAAATGCATTCCTCGACAGCACTATTCTTAATATAATCCCCAAATTTAAGCTCCTAATGTCTTGTTAATGATTTCTTAAAATTCACCAAAATTAGTGGCTAAAACGCTTCGTTAAGTGCTATCTTCTGGTGTAAACTGGTGTAAATTATTACAAGAAACGAATAATGACAGAGTGTACGATACGATAGTTACAAGCGCGTTACACCCGAAGGCAGCACATAACGAGGCGTTTTAGCCACTAATTTTGGCGAATTTTAAAAAATCATTACCAAGACATTAAGAGTTTAAATTTCGGGATTTAATTAAGAATAGTGCTCATATTTGATATTTTTTTTCCCGGAAACTGAAAGGAATTAAAACTTTAAAATATATATAGTTAATATGTCCTAATTTATTTTGACAAAATTTTAATTTTTAAACAAAATTACTTGTTGAAATATCCTGGTCAGAAAATTATAAAGGCTGCTGCATTCACCTTAATATACCAACATACAAGGTGTTTCAAAATTCATGGGACAAATTTCAGGAGGTGATTGCTCTTATGAAATTAAGATGGGTGTTTCCTATAACAAAATTTCCTCAGCCCACCCCTTTCCGAGATATCACCCTTAAGAGGTGGTGACTAAAACTGAGTTTCTATTTTTTTCTAAAATTTCAGAAAAGCTAGAAACTTGAAATTCTGTAATTTTCGTGCACTCGCAAAGGACTAACCACGGTTATTTTTTCAATATTCCTGTTACATTATAGGGTGGTGAAATTAGCAACCCTTACTTTATTTCATATCAAAAGTTTTTTTCGAGATGAAGTTTTATGAAATAATTTTGTAACTTGAAATACTTGTTTTATTTAAAAAAAATTTCCCAAAACCAATACCTTCATAAAAAAAAAACTGTTTTCCACTCAATTTATTAAAAAAAAATGATAAATTAGGGTGTTAATTTTTTTTTCTCTGAAGCTATTGGTTTTGGGAAAAAAATTCAAGAATAAAAAAAAATTAAATAAAACAAGAATTTCATAAAAGTTCATCTCGAAAAAAGTTTTGATATGAAATAAAGTAAGTGTTGCTAATTTTACCCCCTATAATGTAACAGAAATATTGAAAAAATACCCTTGGTTAGTCCTTTGCGATTAAAGAATTTCAAGTTTCTAGCTTTACTGAAATTTCAGAAAAAAAATAAAAACTCAATTTTAGTCACTACCTTTTAAGGGTGATATCTCGAAAAGGGGTGGGCTGAGGAAATTTTGTTATAGGAAAGACCCATCCTAATTTCATACGAGCAATCAGTTCCTGAATTTTGTCGCATGTATTTAGAAACAACCTGTATATTAAACATTTTTTTTAAGCGGGCAAAATTCTTGACAATTTTTTTCCCTAATTGACACATATCGTATTTCTCTAGGATTTACTAACTCTGGCAGAAAACAAATAAAATAGAAATTTGTCAGCTGTGCATTTTTGCCTTGCAGAATTTTTCATTTCATAAATTAACTAAAAACTAAATTAAACGAAAACCTAACAACGCCTCAACAACAAACTAAGACGATCACAATAATTTCGCACCTCTTCAAAAACAACTACCTATTTTTCGACACAGGAATTAACAAATTTAACTAAACAGCAGCTACCCTTTTAACCAAGGGCTTCATAGACTAGCAGCGTTGCCATATTCACTGGTATCATTGTTTTAATAGAATTAGTATCGGAATGAAAACTATGTTAATCTTCGGTCCTGTTTAAAATTGGTAATCTTTTTGAAAAAAAGTTATTTAGAAAATAGTTAAGATATTTGTTATAGAATGACGCTAAAGAGCCAAAAAATTAAATTTGTTAAAAAGTTGAAATTTTTGTTGTTTTTCTTTAAAAATATAAGTTTTTCGCGGTTTAGCGTCATTCTTGGTTCATTTTTACAACGATTGGCCTGAACCATTTTTTTTACAATTTTTTTTTAACTGCCTCAAATGTAAATTGTATTTGACAGCTTATGCGAAAAGTAGTTTCATATTCACACACGGGTAAAAGGTAGATTTATTCACATGCCTGTTATATAGGGCACTTCCCATAGTGCGGTAGGTGTCACTTTCCTATGTGGTCGTAGGAAATCTTATTATTTACAATTTTTATTAGTTATTTTAATTTTTTAGGATGAGCATGGTCAAAGTATGCTTCATTTTGCATCAGCCAGATCACACGGACGTAATGCCTTATTCCAACTGCTTCAAGAAACAGATATTAATGTTGCATACAGAGACGAACTTTATAGAACAGCAAGAGATATTAGCATACAAGCTAATCTTCCTGAGAATACAGAAGAAATTGATCGATATGTTTTACACATTGCAACTAAAGGTAACGAAAATAAATATCCTAAAATTTTAAACAATATTCGTGCGTTAGCAAAGCAATTTATTTTTAAAAGTATTTTATAAAACTATTTCAAATTTTTTTGACAAAAAATAATAGCGATTAATCTATTTATCTATTCCAATACTGTAATATGTTTAATAAATATTAAAATGAAAAACAATCCTTTATATTACGTGAAGAAAATCCATTGACTAGACTCAAGAGATCGGATAAGATTAAAAAACTGATGAAGGTGAAGGCTAACCAGGATCCCAATCCGACTCCTCAAAGGGCAGAAGGATATAAGAAATAAAAAAAATTATCTTATCAGAGTACACTTTTGGCTTTCGCCATCCTCCAAGCAAATTGTTAAGAAACTTTTATTTATCTTTATTTTACAAAAAATTATACTAAAAATTTTCTATTTTATAGCCGATCAAACGCTGTTATTTTAAAACGTTTCCATGACAACCAGAAAAATTTCCGAAATTGGTTCTTTTGGTGGGTACTTTGCATGAAATTACACTCGAAATTTTTTGACACAGGGTGTCTGACTACGGACTATTATCGGCTGTATCTCAGAAACTATTTATCCTACGGCTTTGAAAAATGTATGACAGAGTCGGTTAAGAGAAAATAGTGGAAATTACTTTTCAATTTCTATTTTAAACATTAGAGGGCGTAACTCGCTATGGTAATGCAAACAAATCACTTTTACCCTTTAAATATCCAATAATAGTTTTTACATTTTACAAAAGTGTAATCCAACATTTTTTGCTCTATCCAATAAAATAACTGGTAGGTGATTTATTAAAACTATTATAGCTACGGTGTCGTTTATCAGATTTTAAAAACTTAGTATCGATTAAAAGCAAATTGATTGTTTAGTAAAATATTTCAATATAGTTCTAATTCAGTTGTTTTGTTTAAAGGAGCACTAGATGGGGTTGTTTAAACAGTAACCATTCTTTCGAAGTTTTCTTGAAAATTTAAAATGGAATGTTATAATTGTTATACGTTATTTAGAAAAAGAATTCAATTCTGTTTTTATTATGTTTTTCCTAAAGGAATATAAGCTAAAATCTATAATAGTGAATAGTCCCACCTATATATTAATAAATAAAATTCTTTATATAATAATCTAGTTGGCTTTGATACGTCAGTAATTTTTCGATAGCTTATCTATAGCGACTAACAAAAAAAAATTATTAAAATCTGATTTTAAATAGGTATCTCTCTAATCTAAGTTAATTGGTTTAATTAATGAAACTAATTGCGAAATAAAAATTCAATATATTAATACAACAAAACAAACAACTGAAAACAACAAAATATAAAAGACAGTAGTAACAGGTAACTAGAGAAGATCTAATTCGACGAAAACAAAATGAAATACAAGAATTAGAGGTAGTTCTCGAATTGTTTTCCATCTTTATCAATGCAAATTTCAAGTCTCTATCTAGTTGAATTGACAGCAGCTTCTATTTCAGTCCTAGGAATATGATTAATTTCAGTTTGTATTCATTGAATTAGATCTTTTCTACTTACAGGCTGAGTTTGTTGAATTGAATCTTTACGTCGACCCCATACATAAAAATCTAATACGGTCAGGTCTTAAGACCTTGGTGGCCATGGAAATATACCTACTACCTCTTCCAATCCACCTATTCCGAAAACGTTGATTTTTTTTTGGCATAGACTCTTTGTCATAGAGCCAGTCACAAAATGGAAGAGGTAAATTAACAAATAATGAATGAAAATGAGAAAACATTAAATATTTAATTTCAAATAACAAGACGAAATATCTATCATAGAAAGGCTCCCAGGACGAGTTTGACAAGTAGGTTCGCCATTGTTCATTACTACTAAATCTAAATCATGTACAGTATTTAAAATTTGTTGACCTACAGAATCGTTTTTGGGAGAACCCCAAATAGAATTATGCGCATTCATATTGCCTCCAATAATACAAGGGTGGTTAATTTGTGAGAAAAAATTGTGCCAATATTCAGTTTTAGTTTTGGTTTGTGGGCATCTGTATACCGAGAGAAAATTTAAATTGCTGTTTTTATATTTTATTTTGATCCCACATGCGAGTAATTCATTATTTAGATTTTTATTGATTTCCAGAACTTCGAATTTACTATGTTTTTTAATAAATATTGCGACTCCAGCATAGCCGTCGTCACGATCTTCCCGTACCAAGTGATGTCCGGGAAAATTGAAGACACTATTTTGTTTAAACCAAGTTTCACATATAAGTGCTATATCAATATCTTCATTTAACAAAAAATTCATTAAACTATTTTTTATTTGAAACGGCAGAGCGAGCATTCCATTGAATAATTTTTATTTTATCTTTTAAATCCATTGCTAATTTTTTTTTAAGGGCCTCATCTAGTACCATATTTATATTTTTAGCAAGTGTGTCACCATCTATAAATTTAGCTTTTTCTATAGATTTAATATTTTTCAAAATTGCAGTAAAGTGATTGACCAGTGAGTTTATAAGATCAGTTTTTTGTTGTACAAAGGTGTGATAATTTGGTGAATATGGATTAGGTGGCAAGGGCTGAGAGGGCCCAAATCTAACAGGAATATTGCGTGTTGGTGTAGGGGATTGAGGAGTCGGAGAAGTTGCCTTCATTTTTTTATTGTTATAATGTGTAGTTGTTTTACTGTTACCAGGCTAATGTTAAACTGTATGTTTGAAAGTGAGGTTTACTAGATGATGGTTGCGTTAAAAAAAATCTTTCAGAATTAATATTGGGAAGTTTGGGAAAATCAGCTTCCAGATTTGATAAAACTGAAAAGTTGTTTCTATATGCGAGTCCAGAATATGAAGATTCCAATATTTTTTAGCCACCAAGAAGGAAATTTTTTTGTTAAATCGTAATATTTTTAATTTTTTTTTTGTTGTTCATAGTAGGGAAAATTTTTAGAAATGGAAATGTGGTATGTGCTTTTGCAATGTATACATAACATTTTCTGTTCAGTACATTGATGATTGTTAGTCTTAACAGCACTACAACATAAGCATAGCATAGCATAGCATAATTCGTCAGTGCCTTTACACTGCTTGGAAATGTGACCGAATTTGAGGCATTTTTAACACTGCGTAATTCTACCAATAAATTGTTCAACTTAGAGATATACAGAATGAGCTGTTACATAATTTGGTAAGATATTACCTTCAAAGGTAACTACAATAGTTTTTTTGGTACATACTCTATTTTTCCATCCCGTTCAACTTTTCGGTGCAACCTTTTAATATCAAAAATACGAGAACTAGAGGTCATGTTTTCTTTTAAATATTAACTGTCGTATTTTGTATCAACATCTCTAATTAAACCCTTAACTTCAAGTAGGTGATTAAGGATATGCGCTTTTAAATTTTCTGTAATTAATTGAGTGTTTTTAACTAATTTATTAGCATCTAATACAGACTTTAATATAACTTTGATACGGTTTCTACTGATTCTTTTAATTTCTAAAATATTATTGATTTTTAATTTTTTATGTAATATGTGACCTACTGTTATAGGGTACAATCGGCCTATATTCTGTTTATTATTGCTACTTTCAATAAAACACAACAGTTGTGGAAATTGTACTTATCTGAATTAACATTAAAAAGTTTTATTACTTTAGTTTTTTGGAGGTTGACATTCGTCGTATCCGAATCCAGGTCCATTTCTTTATCTACATCGATAATTTCGCCACTAGCACTATTATTTAAATGCGTCCTGTGTTGTGCCTCCCTCATCGGGGAGGAATATTGCTTTTAAAATAGCACAAAATATAAAAATTAATTAAAACTAGCGAGAGTAATGTGTCCCAAAAGGTCACCTGATAACAAAACCGGTATAATTTCTTGCACAACTATTCTCTACGAGTGTTTATCCGATAATGAAACGTTGATTTAAAAAGTATTTTTTTAAGATCGTCCAGAAAGTATACACTTCTGAACAATTTTTCGTCCAGAAATTAATGTTTTGCCGATCAAAACCGGAAAGTAGACGTTAGAGACCGGTAAAGCTTTTACCGGTCCCTCTTTTTCATTTTTCCGATCGCTGTTTGATAATACAGTCTGCCTTGATTTCGTTACTATGGTAACAAGGTTTCAATTTATTGCCAAATTACAGTTCGTTGACCTATAATAGATTACCATCTACAATTCCACACCACACATTTACTAACCACCGACCTTAATTAAACACTTCTCGCATTCAATGAGGATTGTAGTTAGACTAGTGGTTAGATCACTAATGTATATTATGTAGATTCGTCGGACCATATTATATGCGATTAAAATTGTAAATCCTCATTAAGAAGATTGCTAAGCCAATTAGGAATTCCAAACAAAATGGCTACCAGTGGGTTTTGACAGGTTATATGACAATTATGGCAACCCTATAGGCCTGGTGATTTGACAAAGTCTATGAAATAGATAGTTACATAGATTGATCATCAATATTTTTCAAAATAAATATAAGCTTATGCCTTGAAGTAAAAATAAATGTAGGTAATTATTTTTTTTTACTATATTCAAAGGCAAAATATTGGTTTTTAAACACATTTTTGCAAAATTGATTCTAATTAAGGAGCACTTGCGTGGCAATATGGCCGCTCGTAAACGACCCGCTTTGAGCAATCTATATAACTATATATGTATCATTGACCCTGTCAATGACAACAGGCTCACAGGGTTGCCATATCTAAATGTCAGTTCCCACTAATTAGCAGTTTGACAGGTCGTTGGAATGCCTAATTACAATAATCCAGCCTTTTATTATATTCTGTTAATTTCAGACCTTGATAAAGGGCTACATGGTATGGCTGGAGACTATGTTATTTTAAAATAGAATAAACGAAGTACCTAGTAAGCAATTTTCCGAATACTTATTTGTGGGCTTGCAGCAACGTAAGCTAATATATTTATTTCGTTATTTTGCGTTCTGCTTGTTTGACGTCGTTGAATAGCTCTTTTAGATTGAACACAC